ATCTCATCTTAATCACTAGATTTTTGTGTATCTTCCAAAGTCTCTCTTAAACATTGGTTTTTCATGATCTAAACAACAGAATGAAAATTGAAATAATCATCTGGACTTTTTTAAATAGCCACATTTGTTGTTTTAAAACAACATGAGGTGACTGTCAATGTTTCTCCACATAAAATTCTTCAGTGAGTTCAGCCAGTCAGACATAGATAGCTGTTTTGCCTGACATGGCCTTTTGCTAAATTTTTACATACATTTTAGAATAAAATTTCAGCATAACAGAAACACAATCAAAGTTAACATTTATATTAGATGATTTTTAAAGTTTCAAATAACTGAATAGAAAAGTAAAAGAGAATAGAGGCATAGTAGGAAAATTAAGACTAAGTTAAGTATTAATAAAGAAGAAAGGACAGAGATTTAGATTATTACCTTGAAACTGTATTGTTAGATGTTAGAATGCTTTTTTAAAACTTCTTTTACTGTTAATATAACCTGCAGAATCAGGTGATATTGCTCTCTCTTTAGAGGTGACCATCAATCTTTTCCAGTTATCACTTCTTTGCTTTTCTTTATATTTTTACCATTATTGTATGTATCCCTAATACTATAGATTAATTTTGCCCATGTTTTTAAATTCTATCTAAATGGAATCATACTGTATGAATTTTTGCTTTTTGCCCAACCTTATTTGATTCATCCACATTATTGTGTGTACTTATAGTCTGTTTCTTTCTAGTGCTGAGTAGTATTTCATTGTATGAATATAACACAATCTAATTATCCACTCCTTTCTTAATGGGCGTTTTGACTATTTTCAGTTTAAAACATTTAAAATAAATATTTCTGTGAACATTTCTGGAGCACTTTTCCTGGTACATATAAACATGTATATCCCTAAGTATAACCCACCTGGGGGGAAGTTTCTGGGTCATAGGATAATATGTATTTGTTTAACTTTAATAAATAATGCTTCCCTGGTTTCCACAGTGGTATATCAATTTATACTCCCACTAGTGAGTGGTGGGAGTTTCTGTGGCTCCTTATCTTCACCAACACTTGGAACTTTCAGACTTGAAATTTTTTACCAATTTGATAGGTACATATAGCTATCCCACTGTGATTTTAATTTGCCTCTTCCTTGTCAGCAATGATATTGAATACCTTATAAAATGTTCATTGAACCATTGGATACATGTTTTGTAAATGTCTATTGAAGTGTTTGGCCATTTTTCTATTGAATTGTCTATATTTTTCTTATTAGTTTGTATACATTTTATATAATCTGAACAACAGCCTTTTGTTGGTCATATGTCTTAGAAATATCCTGTGAGGCTTGCCCTTCTGCTGTCTTAATGATATCGCTTTTGTTTTTCAATATTCATGTTACTTTTGTGTGTGTGTGTGTGTGTGTGTGTGTGTGAACATATTTTATCAATAGGCTACTGACTAGAATATTCAATCTAGAACATGACACCTTCACCCTACCCCATTTCTCAAACATCCATGTTGTCTTCTCACATACATATTTTTATTCCGGTAAAAAATCAATCAATCAATCATCAATCAATCAATAAACCACTTAACATGAGCTCCATCCTCTTAAGAAATTTTTAAGTGAATAGTATGATATTGAATATTCAATAACACAATGCTATACAGCAATTCTCTAGAACTTTTTCATCTTGGATGACTAAAACTTTATACCCATCGAACAAAAATTCCCCATTTCCCCTTATCCCTACGCTTGGCAATCACCATTCTATTCTTGAGTTTGATTATACTGGATAGCTCATATAAGTGTAATCATGCAGTATTTATCCTTCTGTGGTTGACTTATTTCACTTAGAATAATGTACTGGAGGTTCATCCACGTTGTAGCACATGACAACATCTTCTTTTTATTGCTGAATAATATTCCATGTGTATATATACCACATTTTCTTTTTTTTCCTGTTTTATTGAGATATTGACTTATAGCATATGTAAGTTTAAGGTGTATAATGTGATGCTTTGATAGATGTATATCGTACAAAATGAGCACCGTAATAAGGTTAGTTAACACCTCCATTCACTCACATAATTGTCTCTTTCTATGGTGATAACATTTAAGTACTCTCTTAAAAATTTTTAAGTATATAATACAATACTATTAATTATAGTCACCTTGCTATACATGAGATCCCCAAAACTTATTCATCTTATAGCTGGAAATTCATGCCCTTTGACCAACATCTCCCATTTCTCCCTAACCCCCAGCCTCTGGCATACCATTCGACACTCTATTTCTTATGAGTTCAGCTTCTTTAGATATAATATATATCTAATATTTTTTCACATACACATATAATAAAAACATGTAGATTTGTCTTTCTCTGTCTGACTTATTTTACTAAGCTTAATGCCCTCAAGGTCCATCCAAGTTGTTGTAAAAGGCAGGACTTCCTTCTTTTTATAGCTGAATAATATCCCACTGTGTGTGTGTGTGTGTGTGTGTGTGTGTGTGTGTGTGTGTAATATTTTCCTTGTTCACTCATCCAGAAATGGACACTTAAGGTTATTTTCATATCTTGGCAATTGTAAATAATACTACAAGGAACACGGGAGTACAGATATCTCTTCAAGATATGGATTTCATTTATCTCAGATATATTCAGTGGGATTGCTGAATCATAAGGTAATTTTATTTTTAATTTTTTGAGGAACCTCCAGATTGTTTCCCATAGTGGCTGTACGTATTAATATTCCTACTAAAAGTGCAAAATTCCCTTCTCTCCACGTCCTTGCCAACACATCTTATTTTGCTTTTGTTTTTTTATATTGGCCATCCAAACTGGGGTAAAAAGATATTTTAGTATAGTTTGATTTTCATTTCCCTGATGATTAGTGATGTTGAACATCTTTTCATGTATCTATTAGTCATTTGTATATCTTCTTTGGAAAAATGTCTATTGAAGTCCTTTGCCCATTTTTTAATCAGACTTTTTGTATTTTGTTATTGTGTTGTATAAGTTCTTTATATATCTTGGATATAAACCGCTTATCTGATGGATGGTTTGCAAATATTTTTTCCCATTCCATAGGTTGCTTTTTCATTTTGCTGATTGTTTCTTTTGTTGTGCAAAAGCTTGATAGTTTGGGGGTGACCAGTTAGCTCAGTTGGTTAGAGCGTCGTGCTGATAACATCAAGGTTGCCAGTTTGATCCCTGCATGGGCCACTGTGAGCTGCACCCGCCTTAAAAAAAAGAGTCAACTATGCCATTGTAGTATGAAAGAAATGTATAACCAATGACCATGGCTGTACCACAGTAAAATTAAAAAAAAAAAAAAGCTTGATAGTTTAATGTAGTCTCACTTGTTTATTTTTGCTTTTGTTCCTTGCACTTTTGGTGTCTTAGCCAAATAATTGTTGCCAAGACCAGTGTCAAGGAGCTTTTTCTCTGCTTTCTTCTTGTGGTTTACAGTTTAGGGTCTTACATTTAAGTATTTAACCCATTTCAGCTTTATGTAAGCAATGCTTGTATCTTTGACTGCTTGCTGGCTAGTACCCTCAAACATATTTTGAGGATTTTCTGAGACCTTAGGCTAGATGTTTTTCCCTTCAAAAAGAATTTGCATTTGCATCTGCCTGATATCTATGGGGCTTCACCATCCTAGACCACCTTAGCGTAAATTCAATCCTGAGAGTTCCTGGCCTAACTCCCACTCAGGAGGCAAATCTGAGAGAAGTGTTTTCTGGACACTCCCAAGGAAAGGGATCTCTGGGAACCACAGCATCTCAGAGGAGTCAGCTTTTCTTTTTCTCCCCATTTTCTTCTCCATTCCAAAGATACCAAGGCAGCCCTCTCAGCAGTTGCCAACAGTTGTGGAGGTAGAAGACAAAAATCTAAATCTGGTTCATCTACACCTGAGGATATAGACCCTGGGGCTCTAGCTCAGAGGAAGGGTTCTCTCTCCTGCAAAATTCCTTGCCCTCACTAGACTGTGGGCCTTGACTTCCCTTTGGGCATGATGAAGACATGGAACCAGAGCACAAATGGCTGTGTCATCAATAAGCGCCTTCCAGATAAAGATAGTTTTGGTGCTTCAGTATTCTGCTTACCTCCCAGTTATAGGATGGCATTCCAAAACAGGCCAGGAAGGGCCGACTAGCTTTTCAGATCTTGAATATTTTTAAATTGCTACACACACACACACACACACGCACACACACATTCACACATATACAGGTACATATTTTGTCCAGCATATCTTATTGTTTTCAGTGGGAGGGTTAATCTGAGTTACCCAATGTATCATTACCAGAAACAAGGCTTAGATGGCATTTTAAAATGTCTTTTATCAAGATGGTGGGTCAAACCAATAATTTTCTAGTTCTGTTTGGTTTTGTTCATTGACTTGTTTATTTTTAGGTTAAATGGTGGGCTTTTTTTCCTGTGCCATAATTGTTCTTCGTACACTGACAACACTTTTCCCTTCCCACACTGTCCTTTCCTGAGCTAACACTTCCTCATCCTTCAAGATAGTTCAGGAATCATCTCAGAAAGTCTCATCCCATTCCATTCCTAAGCAATCAGAATGGGTGTCCCCCATGTACTTTATAGCAGAAAGAGAAGATATATATAACAACCCAAGTGTTGCAGAGGTACTAACAAATACAACTAGACAGATGGGCCAATAAGAACAGATGCCAGTTGTAAACAACCAGAACCAGTGTGCACTGAATAAATATCAGCTATGCTCAAAGCATGTGCCACAGTAAGGTGTGACAACATGTGCATGCTATCATGGTACATGGTTCTGTAATTTGCTGTTTACATATCTCCCCTGGTAATCTGTGAGGTCGTTATGGACAGGGAGCAATCATACTCACCCTGGAATCTTATGTTGCATGGATTCTTGGTGCAAATAAGGGTCCAATAAATACTTTTTAAATTAAGTTAAAGAAAATCTATATTGAGGGAACCGCTACAAAAATTCATTTAACAAATCACTTCCATTTCTTCACAGCTTTAACCACTGGAAGTTCATGAACAATGAATTCACTTTACTCCTCCTGTTGGAACACCTCTGCTGAAATTTTGAACAAATCCTGGAATAAAGGGTTTGCTTATCAAACCCTCAGCACTGTGGACACAGTCATCCTCCCTTCCATGATTGGGATTATCTGCTCATCAGGGCTGGTTGGCAACATCCTCGTTGTATTCACTATAATAAGGTAAGGTTTCTTTTTTTCCATCATTTAGGGACATCCTATACTCTCTAAATGAATCCTTTTCCCCCTGTAGAACTTTTCTTAATAAAATCAGATTTAGGGAAGATTTGCTTAAGATAATTAAAGAAGATTCTACATATATTTTCAACATGTATTAAGTAACATCTGAGTTGTAGATCACAAAATGAAAAGGACTAGGCCAATGCTTTCTGCTGCATTAGTGAATTTTTAGAGCAGTGATTTTCAATCTTAGCTACATATTAGAATCACCTGAGGAGTTTTTGAAACTCCTAATACACAGTTTCACCACAGACCAATTAACGCAGAATCTGTGGAGGTGGAACCCAGGCAAGGATTGAAACTGCAATGCAACCATTTTACTTTCCAGTGATAAAAATAATCCTAAGAAGCTGACCTGGTCTGGTTGGTGAAAGAGACTCTTTTTTACTCTCTTGGGCAAGAGAGAGAGAGACTCTACCTGATCACTCAGAGATTCAGGCAGTCATAGATGGTGGCCTGTTCCCCTCAATGTAGACCACCCCAAGTAAGCTGAACTGAGATATACTCGTAGTGATGACTAAGTTCTGATTTTGACAAAATAAGACCACAAGCATATATGAAACATATACAAAAAACTAGGTTTAAGGGAGATGGAGCTTCCAGAATATGATGTTCTATATGGCTTTTTAAAAAACTAAGAAGCAAAGATTTGTGCCTTAGGAAGATGACTATAAAGTAGTGAGGCCAGATAATTACTTGTCTATCATACTTTAAATTCATAGCAGGTCAAAAGGAAGCCAGATTAATAAGTGTAGTAGGAAAACTGGGCCAATTATAACAAAATATTTTCTCTTTTTATCCTTTGAAGAGACACTAATGAGCTCAACGCCATTACTCAACTATTCTCCATAGCCATAAGGGGCCCTGAGAAACTACCTCAATAAAAGAGATGACATTTTTCACCTCCACCTCCTAAACACATCATTCTCCTGTTTACTGACTGACCGCTTCAAGTGAGCAGAGACTCTGAATGGATGCCCTGTCTCCCAATAAATTAAAAGTTCCCATGCTGTCCTTCCCTGCCCTCAATTCCCTGTCAAGTCAACTAATTCACTCTAAATCATGAATTACTGAAATACCTTACTTTTTAACAGTCCAAATGGTGCCTACATTTTATATGAAAATTACAACAGTGCATTAACCTGAAGGAGCACGAATGATCTAATGCTGGGATACAGTTGCTAAGAGGAAGGGAAATGCTTAGCACAAGGCCTCTTCCTTTTTCCCACCCAGCTTAAATCATAACTAGTGGCTCCCTTCGAGCCAGCTCTCCACTGTTGCCAGGGTGTCAGCCATATATAAGCTCTTGTTGGGGCTGACTCATAACTTTCTGCACATATAGTGTACATTTTAGTGCTTCAGAACGTCACAGCCACATCTGTTCAAATGAACTGGAAAGTTGGTGGGACACCCTCATTGCTATGGTCCAATACACCAAGGCAACTCTGGCATCTAAAGGGGTTGAATGTCTTGCCCAAGGACATAATAAAAATGAAAATAGAATTCCCACTGAGGTTCTCTTTCCACTGTATTACACTATGTATCTAGAGCAGGGTTGGCAAATATGTCGCTTTGTTCTAAACTCTCCCATTCTTGGCAGTCATCTCTAATCACATGGGTCTGTCCTGTAGTAGTAGTAGTAGTAGTAGTAGTAGTAGTAGTAGTAGTAGTAGTAGTAGTACCTACGTGAGGACTCAGAATTCTTCTCATCACCATGCTTCATGGAATCACTACTAAGTCATTGAGGTTGGCGCACACTAGGAATTTATTTCACCTAGAGATAAATGCCAAACAGTGGGAGGTGAGGCAACCCAGAAATAAATAAAATCACGAAGCTCCTACCACATCCCACCACTATCCCACCCCAATGGCACCACCCCTTTCCTGGCCCTGAGCTGGCTGGAGAAAAGGAAGTGGTTTTACAGAGCCCAGGAGCCTGGGCTGCCTCGTGAGAACTGTGGCCTCAGTAGGACCTGGGACCACGGAGTGGAGACTGGGGGAAGAAGGTGGATCCATGGAAGGAGATGCCGCCACTGCCAGAGATGCCTACAGCAGGAAGGGAAGGAAATGCCCTGGCCTCTCCTCACCTCCTACCCTCCAATTTCCTCCAACAGTGCTTCCTATTGGCCAAAACTAGCCAACAGCCAGTTGGCAAGATCTAGGAACAAAGCCGGGGAAGGGTGGGAAATGGATTTGAGAGCAAGCTGATTAGCAAAGTAGCCTTCTGCATGTGTGATGTTTCATTAATATCACTTAATCCATAGCATATATTGTTATTTCTGATGCAAAAAGTAATGTGTTTTTAAAAGAAATTTTGTAAACATAAAAAAATACAAAGAATAAAGTCAAAATCAGTTATACTACTATTATCAAATAGATAATCATTGTGGTCACCTGACAAATGATTCCAGCACATTTTTTAACAAATGTTTAAATAAATTTGAGGTCATGCTACGTACATAATTAGGACTTATTTACTTAATAAGTATTTTCCCCATTTGACTATATATTCTTGCAAACTATGGTTTGTAACAACTATCATTTATTGTATAGTATTGTGGATACCGTAATTTATTTCATCATGCTTCAAATTAGTGAGCATTAGCTATGGCCATGTTAACCATATGGAAAACATGTTAGCTGAAATGATCACTACTCTACATTTTTTATTTTAAATGTTTGAGCCATGAGAGACAGAAATCTAATGAAGTCTGGCAACGGGGAACCTGAAGATAAATTAGGCCTAAAAAAAGAATGCAAGTTGTTTTTAATTTCTATGCTGTCATTTTCAATAAAGAAAGCAATAAGTATAATGTGTTATTTTTATTGCCCTCATACCTTATGCCTCAATAAATACACTATTTGCTTTAGAATTCTTTTTTTTATGTAGAATATCATCTGGAAACAGTTTTATTTAATTCTTTTTAATTGCCAGTTACTGGCCTGCCCTGTCCTCAACAATGGAATTACCATAATTTATTATGAGTAAATGATGGGTTGTCTGTCTAGAAAGAGCAAGGGCCAAGGATCTAGCTGTGGTAATTAGAACCTAAGCAACCACTTATGGCTTAAATCCCAATTTAAATGGAAGTCATATCTATTTATACAGTCTAAGATTTGCAGCATTTTTTGTTATTGTGTTTTTGCTTTTGTTTTTGTTTTCTTTTGTTTAATGTGGAACTCTTTCTACATGACCTCTGGTCCCTGTCCCCCTCCCCTGTCCCCTCTTCATCTACCACACTCAGTGGCCTGGAGAAACCATCTTGGCTGCTCTTTTGGTTGACATGATCCTTTCTGCAAGTCTCTTCTCCTTCTTGGTCTTTCTGACATGAGCCAACCTCTTGGGAGCAAGGGACTGGCCTGCTTCATAGTGGCTTCAACAATGTCCAGAGTGTGCTTGCTGAGTAAGGACTCAATGGCAGTAACTTCCCTAAAGGATATTTGTTGTCAGGCCCTGGGTAAAATATCCTGCCAGGACTGATGTCTCACACAAGGGTTTGATGACTTAAAGTTCAAAGCCCATAAAATTTGCAGCCCATGAATAGTAAACACACATACTAGCTTCCAAATTGCAGAGCAATAGCCCAGGGTCCAGAGTCAACTAGCAATTGTGGCATAATCTTAGGCTAATTCTTATGTGCTCTTTAAATTCTTATTTGTCCTCAGTTCAGATGCCACTTCTGCCAAGAAATCTGCCTTGGCTTTCCCCAAGGGAAGGAGCAGAGGTCACCTTTGTCTGCTCCTTGTTCTGGCTCTAGCTTTCTCTCATCACATTATAGCATGATAATTTCACTGGACTAAACGCCCCTTGATGTTATAGTTTATAGATTATTTAGCTTTGCAGCCACAGAGCACAATATTATGCCTGACATATCATTGGTGCTTAATGAAATGTTTGTCAAATTAATGAAAGTGTCTCCCAGATAAAGATGATGACTGTTTATTACTGAAAGATCCAACTCTTGAAGATAGGGACCTACTGAATTTAAAATTAAAATTTCTGCTCTCAGAAAATTATTTTGCCTACAGAGGGCAGTGCCACATCTGGGTAGTGTTGCATTCACTCCCTCAGCCGGAGACATGAAATCATTCTCAGTGACCTCTATCAGCACTCATTTCAGATTTCTTCTCCATGCTGTCTGGATTTCAGAGTCTTACATAATTAATAGTATCTGGTATTGGGCTAGGTTTTATTGAAATATTTCTAACGAATGGTTGAAATTATTTTAACGATGGCCTCAGGATTTGAACTTATAGCTTTGGTGGGAAAAAATGCTTTGCACAGTAGAAACCATTTATTTTCCCTGATCAGCTGTTTTTGGTGCTAGGGATAAGTAAAGATTAAGCCTTTTTGGGCTGGATGAGTGGCGCGTTGGTTAAGAGCTGGCTTGGGAGGCCAGAGGGCCCCGGTTCGGATCCCACATATGAGGGCCAGTGACACTGCCCTCTACAGCTAAGATGCTGAACAACAGCTCAACCTGGAGCTGGGCTGCCATGAGTCACTGGCGACGGCGTAGGCTGCAGCCACTGCTGCAGTGGGTTGCCATGGGCTACCGTGTGTAGCCAGCAGCCAGCGTGAGCGGCCAGCAGCCGCAGTGAGCAGCCATCCAGAAGCCGGCGACTGATCTGCCTCACCCGGGAAGAACGCAATGATGGTGCCAACTTGGGCCAGTGAAGCAACGTCCTCCACAACTAGACTGAAGAACAAAAGGACAGCAACTTGTCTGTTCCCCTTTCCCCAATTCCCCAGCACTGTTCCCATCCCTCAATTCCCCAATAAACATCTTTAAAAAAAAGATTGTCTTTTGCTAGAGTGAGTTTATAGTTGATATAATTTGTTGCTATGAAGAAATTACCCCAAAATTTAGTGGCTTAAAATAATAAACATTTATCATCTCACAGAGTTTTGAGAATCAAGAATCCAGGCAGCCACTTAGCTGGTGGTTCTGGCTCAGGATCTCTCACAAAGTTGCAGCCAAGCTGTCCTCTAGAGCAGCAGTCATCTTGGCTGGGGCCTGAGCATTGACTTCCAAGGTAACTCCCTCACACACCTGGCAAGATGGTTGTTGGCAGGGGCCCTCAGTTCCTCTCCATGTTGACCTCTCCATAGAGTTACTTGAGTATTCTCTCAAGATGGCAGCTGGCTTCCACAGAGAAAGTGATCCAAGAGAGAGCACGGAGAAGACCCCACAATGTCTTCATGTCCTAATTTTGAATGTCACACACTGTCATTTCCACTATATTCTCTCAGTTAAAAGTGAGTTACTGAGTTCAACTCACATTCAAAGGGAAGGAAATTGGCTTCACCTTTTAAAAGCTGTATCAAAGGATGTGTGGACATATTTTTAAACCATTACAGTTAGTTATCAGATATATAGTCCAAAATGTTTAAATATACACAAGACTAGGCATTCATATGTGTGTTTGTATAGATTTTCCTTTAACTTTGAAAATCCATTTTAGAATTGAAAATTGGTAGCAGGTGACATCCATTAAAGAAGGTGCATACTTTCAATGTTAGTCTTCAGTTTCCCTCCATTTCTTTCAGGTCCAGGAAAAAAACAATTCCTGACATTTATATCTGCAACCTGGCTGTCGCTGATCTGGTCCACATCATTGGAATGCCTTTTCTTATTCACCAGTGGGCCCGGGGAGGAGAATGGGTTTTTGGGGGTCCGCTATGCACCATCATTACATCCCTGGATACCTGCAACCAGTTTGCCTGTAGTGCCATCATGACTGTAATGAGCGTGGACAGGTAAGTGAAGAGACTTTACAATATCTTAGCATAATCCAGAGGCACCTGTGCTTCCCGAGTTCATCGCAGTCTAAGCAACGTCTGCGCTGGTTTGTATCAACAAAGCTCCTCTTCCTTTGCTTGTTTCACTGTAGGACTGATTAGTTAACAATATTTGCTCCAACTTTCACAGAAATCTATTTTTTAATAGAAAGCATGAAACACAAAAACCTCCTTTATTCTAATTATCTTTTTTACCTCAGTTTTATTTATGATTCACTGCAAGATAAAAAGATCTCAAAATCATGAAACGCTGGAGACCAGAATGAATGTCCCCCTGCCATCATTTTACTCTTGCAGCAAAGAAGCTGAGGCCCCCAGAAGTGAGGAGATTGCTGAAGGCACACAGAGAGTCGGTGGCAGAGCTGAGAACTAAAGCAGGGCTCCTCACTCTCTGTCCAGAGCTATATCGGGCATGTTAAATGTCTCACCTAGCAGCTTGCAGGAATAAGTGGAGTAGAAATGGACTATGAAGAGATGTCCCAGTACCAATAAGACCATCATTTTCATCTTTTCCACTCATCATCATGATTGGTTAATGCAAATGCTCCTATTTTACATCATTAGAAATGTATCCGACTGTGACCTGGAATGTGTCAGCCAAACTCACCCACCATGTAAGCTAATGTTATTCGAGTAGATGGTGGTGATGGTGAGTACTTATGGATCCAGTGAGTGGTAGAGCCCAGTTCAGACCCTGGCTGTCTCTAGAGATGGTAGGTAACTTGTAACTACCTCACCATCTGGCCTCTTAGGGAAGCATGCAAGCTGGGATGTGTCCCGCCTCGGTCAGATGCCAGGACTTCCACACCAGGTCTTAGCAGCATTCCCAAACAGAAATAAGCCCTAAAGACAACAGTAATATCCAAAACAGGATTGCCTCAATGAACAACTCAATTAAAATCTTCATCCACCTTCTTCCCACCCCAACCCCAACCCAGCACACATGATCCCCCTTATTCTGATCTGCTTTTTCTTTCTCCCTTGCTTCAAATATATGACATAGTTTATTTTGTGTATGAATGTGTGTGTGTATTGTTTTTTATCTAGCTTCCCCTACACCCCAACTGCAAATTCCCCAAAGTCAAGTGTCACAAATACATCCCAAGTGTCTGTGGAACAGTGCCTGGCCAATGGGTGCTCAAAAAATATTGAAGAATGAATGACTGTCAGTCTTGAGGACTGTGTTAAATTTCCCTGGTTCCATCCAGAGCTTTTCCTGAGCTCTGCCTCTTTTACCCTTCCCAGTGGACCTTGGAGGTGAAAAAATGATGAACAGTTCTTCAGATAGGTAAACAAAGGAATAGCAAGATTCATATAACTCATTCACTGGATTATTATTCAGACATGAATACCAATGTCAATATTTAATGCATTTTTTTCTATCCTGCTGCTTTTCTGCAAAAGAATTCTCCAAATACAGTGTGCTTCTCAATTTATAATTAGCATCGCATTTTTTAATCAATGCATTGTGTAGGTCTGGTTAGTTCAGATGATAGCAGCCAATGCTGACAGTGTCTTGAGTGAAGCCTGGTGAGCCTGCCAGGATTCCACCATTAGGGAGAGGTGGCTTGTGAATATAATCAGAGAAGATTCCCTAATCAATAGATGCCATGAATCCATCATTCTTTAATCCCAGACAGAATTATGGCTGGGCTGCTTTACAATCACTGCCTCATCCCTTTCCCCACCAGGGAGGGGGGCTTCAGGTGCACTGTACAGAGGAGAAGTGGCTGAGGCACCCTGGGTCACAAGCCTCTCCCTGTATGCCAAGGGATCCTTTAACTGAGTGCAAAACATCCTGCCTCTTGTGCAAAATTGAAATAGCAAAGGGACAGGGAACTTTTATTTTTATAAATCTTCATCAAGTAGTTCTACAACAACTTGCAGAAAATTAAATGACCGTCGAAATATTTTTTGCATTTATTTAATGTCTACGAATACTGCCTTCCACCAACCCCACCCCCAGTGAAACTTTTCTCAAATGCCCTTCTTTCTGGGTCTGAGCTCTCTTTTTCATCCTTTAGCTTTTATTTAGCTCTGAAGAATTCTTCTTGGATTTGTTGGAAAACAAAATATATTTGATATGTCAGGATTTCAAGTTTGAGTCATGATCATTTTTTTCTGGATCAAAAATAGAAAACCAGAAAAGAACAAAGAAAAACGCTTCTCCATGAAATTAGCCCATTTCCCCCTTTGGTCTCTAGCCTAAGTTCCTGAGGAATTAGCATTTTCTATACTAGTCATGCTTTTTTATCCTCACTGTGATTTCTGTGAACTGAACCTCTGTGAGCCTGGGGACCCTCCTGTAAAGCCATCTGAGCCCGTTGCCTGTCCCATGGGCCTGAACCTCACCCTCCTCGGGACTCTCCTATCAGCCAGCACACTTTCCTACTTCCTGCCTCTATATCAGCAAATCTTACTGGGCAGAGGGCCCCGCCTCCTGAAGGAAATCCCTGTCCAGAGACAGTTTTCCGGAGTCTCCTCGCCAAAAGAAGCACCTTTGTAAAGAGAGAGTTTGCAGGGCAGCATTTTATCATCACCAGCGTGTTCGTGGAAGAGACAGTTATTTCAGTGAGTGGTTTATTCAGACTTGGAGGGTCAAGAGTTGTTTTCTCTACAGGTACCAGCCAGCTCTTTAAAAATATAACTTTCCTTTACCCTGATAGAGGTGTGCTTCAGGGAGGATAATAATACTAATAATTTACTCTTGTCATGAACCTTTCATCCTGGGAGCTCAGTGCTTTTATTGATTGTTCCCAAACCCTTCTTAACTGGCTTTGCAGGTACTTGGCTCTCGTCCAGCCATTTCGACTTGTGAGTTGGAGAACAAGGTACAAGACCATCCGCATCAATTTGGGCCTCTGGGCAGCTTCCTTCATTCTGGCGTGGCCTGTCTGGGTCTACTCGAAGGTCATCAAATTTAAGGACGGCGTGGAAAGTTGTGCTTTTGATTTAACATCCCCTGATGATGTACTCTGGTAGGTTGTTAAAACTTAAGAAAAATAGAGTTGAATTAAGTTATGAAGTGCTTCATCCTCCTTGTCAGCATGTGAGCTGCCGCGCAGTACCTTAGGGATCCTCTTCCAACCAGTCTCCCCACTTAGTTTTCTGCTTTCCACAATCCAGTTGATAGTCTGAGTTTTAAGGAGACAGTAACCTTTAGAAAAAGATTTTTTAGTTTAATGATGTAACCTCAGTGTGCACAAATATATTTAAATATGGATTTTAAAAATCTTTGCAGCCAGATGCAGCAGAAATGCAGCAATCAAGGGAGGGACAGGCTTTCCAAAAGGGTCTCAAAGTTACCAAGATGCGAACCTTATCAATATGCGAATGAAGTTGGGTTGAATTGTGTTCCCCAAAAAGATATATTCAAGTCCTAATTCTCCGTACCAGTGAATGGGACCTTATTTAGAAATAGGGTCTTTGCAGATATAATCAACTTAAGATGAAGTCATACTGGACTAGGGTGGGCCTCATAGCCAGCGATTTGTGTCCTGATAAGGAGCAGGAGATGTAAAGAGACGCACAGAGAGAACACCTGTGCAAACAGATTCTCCCTCAGAGCCTCCAAAAGGAACCCATCCTGCTGACACCTTGATTTTAGACACCTGGCCTCCCGAATTGTGAGACAATGAATTCCTGTTGTTTTAAGCCATCCACTTTGTAGTAATTTGTTACAGCAGTACTAGGTAATTAATACAGCAACCAACACATGCATTTCTTACATTTTAATTTGGAAAGAAAAAATAAATTGAGATTTTTCTATTTGAAATTTTGAATATAGCATTGGTTGGAGTCTATGGCTAAAATTTTTAAATTTTTTTAATTTTTATTAGTTTCAGATGTACAAAGCTATGTAATAGTTAGACATTTACACCCCACATAAGTGATAACCCACCCCCCAAGCTACTACCCCTCTGACAACTTATATAGCTGTTACAAAACCATTGACTATCTTCCCTATGCTGTACTCCACATCCTGTGACTATATATATATACCTACGGTATATATTTAGTTATAGTTGATATTCACTATCATTCTACTTCAGCTTCAGGTGTATAGCACATTGCTCAGACATCTACACACTCTATGACATGATCCCCCTGGTAAGTCCAGTGCCCATCTGGCACCTTACATAGTCTTTACAACATTGTTGATTATATTCCCCATTCTGTGTTAACTACCAATTTGTATTTCTTAATGCCTTCACCTTTTTCACCCTGCCCCCAACCCTATTCCCATCTATCATCCTGATAGATCTAGTACTTATCTGGCACCAAACCTAGTTATTACAATACTACTGAGTATATTCCTTATGTTATACCCACATCCCCATTACTACTGTATAACAACCAACTGTACTTCTTAATTCTTTCCTTAACCCTATGGCTAAAATTTTTTGATTGTCCACTAAGAGCCAAGTACTGTGCTAGGTGCTTTTTACACACATCAAGTCAATCTGGCAAATTCCTTTTACCCCACCCACTACTTAGCAAATAGATGTCATTTCTGCCTCATGTAGACACAGTCCCAGAGGGATGGGGGTAGAGGCCCTGCAAGACCACAAATCCAGTAACAGCAATCTCCCAGGAGTGCAGCATGGATGGGATTAATTATTTATTCATTATTTCTCCCATGAGCATAAGCTGCACTCATAGACAAAAATCATCAACCAATCTAAGTGTGAAATGATACTTAATCACTGGCGCTGATACATTAATATGGACTTCAGCCTATCTAAAAGAAGAACACAACCTGAGGCTCACCATATAACTATATAATACTGTGGTCTGTATCAAAGAAACAAACAAAGATTAATTATTTTGCACTGAGAGCTGCTTCTGCTAGTTGGTTATCATAAAGGATATTCTGAGATGTGACAAACTCTGTCATTCTTCCCGGACTTAAATCCTTATGGTTAACTAGGCTGGAACTTCTGTGCTGCGTTCAGAGTCCCTCTGGTCCCTGTGCTCTCTCTCTGCCACCCTGTCCACACCCACCCAGTCTGGGCTGCCTTCTTTCACCAACTCCAGGGTTCTGCCAGCAAGGACACCTGTCATCTGTGCAGAAATGGAGTTGGCTGACCTGAGAATTCCCCTGGCAGAGCACTGAGGAAAAGACTAGCTGATTTTACAACAGGCCCTTTGAAAAGCTCTTGAGCTTTGGTTACAAGCATAAGCTGTGCAGCTCAACTGTCTGTCTGGGTTCAAATCCCACCTCTGCCACTTACTAGCTGGGTAGCCTTAAGCAAGCCACTTAACCCACTCTGTCAGTTTCTTCTGTAACACGAGGATACCATTGGCATTGTACTCATGGGGCTGCACAGATTCATTGGGTTAAAAGATGTAAACTACTCAGGTCAGCGCCTACTATACAATAAATGCTACTTGCTGTTGCCTACAGTTGTTAATATAGCTAAAGATAATGATAATAATAAGTACCCTCACCTGCTCTGTACTCAGCAGTGCTGCGCTTAGCTGGGAAAGAAATTTGCATCATTGTCGGGGAACAATGAGAAGCAGACTTTTCTACAGGAAAGCACCTGAAGATCCTGAACTTTTCCCCAAAAACTTTTATCCTGGGCCCTGAAAAATCAGAGAATCATGGCTCGTTAACTGTAACAGCCAGTCCCTAGCATTGTGAATGCAACAACCATGTTATCTCTCTCTCTCTCTCTCTCTCTCTCTCTCTCTCTCTCTCTCTCTCTCTCTCTCTCTCTCTCCCTCTCTCTCCTTTTACAGGTACACACTTTATTTGACGATAACAACTTTTTTTTTCCCTTTACCCTTGATTTTGGTGTGCTATATTTTAATTTTATGCTATACTTGGGAGATGTATCAACAGAATAAGGATGCCAGATGGTAAGTGTTTGCCTTATTTTGTTTTATTTATTGATAGGACAATCAGAGATCCTAAGATATCTATGATAGGAATGTAAACAACAATCACTTGAAACATACCACACTCAGACAGATGGGCATTACTGTCTCTATGAGGCATTTTCTGAAAATAAGACATGTTCTGACACAGCTATTCGAGGATCTCTCAGTGATATATGTAGAAATCGCTGAAGTTATAGTTTCATAGAAATTTAAACAGAACTCAAGAATCTATTTAAAGAACAATTTTATATTTGTCACCAACAATGGTATGTAAATACTTTATTTGTACATTTTGCCGAGTTCTGCATATATTTAAATATCTCAGATGTTGTATATAACTTTTAATTTTTGTGTTTTAATGTTTTTTTAATTTAGAGAAGAAGGATCTTATTAATACTTAAGTACTTGAGACAAGATTAATTAGGGCTAAACAAAATCAAAGACTTACATAAAGACAATGAACTTGAACAAGACCTTTAAAAATACTTAGCTCTAAAACTGCATGAATAAATCTAAATTATCTTCTACTTGAAACTGTACATACCAAGTTGTTTAAATGTGTAAGTCACTGATTTTATAACATGTCGGGTTAAAAAGAGCATTATTAAAATTTGCCTTTAGAATAGATTATTCTATTTGTTTTAGAAAAAGAAGATTGCTGGGTTTCTCATACACACCACATGTAACACTCTGAACATTAAAAAACAAAAAAGGATAGGTGAACAATTTAAGCACCATCAGTCGAAATTTGTGGCAAACCCTAGTACTAAACGTTTAAGTGGTCTATTGGCCCATGACATCTTTTCCCACTTAGAATTCCTTGAAATTCTTTGGAAATATTACATTCCTTAAGGGTGGTCTATTTAGAATGGGAAAGGGAAGCAGCCACAGTTATAAGGGAAAAAATTAGCTTCTAAATATAACAGAGAACTGAGTTGGTGAGAGGTTGAAATGAAATCACATGGAATATTAAGACACTGACAGCTGGAAAGGATGCTTGAGCCATTTTAAAACAGTTCTCCAAATCAGATCATTTTGCTCCCAGCACTTTCCTCAGGAATGCTAAAAGCACCTTGTGAAATGAAGCTTATACTGTCCAGTTAGGCCTTAAAATGCAAGACATTAGAGGAATAATGGTGCCTACTTTGATAAACTGCAGAAGAATCATCTTAGAATGATTTTCAGCTGCCATGCATTTTTTTAATATTATTCCTCAGGCTTATTTGTCTGCTTCAGCTGTGTCTCAGGAAAATTTCTATTAAATATCTAACTATGACATAACATGATAAAATTTGGGAATTTTAAAGTATTTTTTATTTTAGAATAATTTAAATTTACAGAAAAGTTGCACTGGTAGTACAGCGAGTTCCCTTTACTCCTCACCCAGTTTCCCTATTAGCATCTTACCTTACCATCAAGCATTTGTCACAACAAAAAAAATGGCATTGATGCATTACTATTAACTAATCTCTGCCTTTTATTGGATTTCCCAGTTTTTCCATTAATGTCCTCTTTCTGTTACAGGATTCAATCCAGAGTACCACATTGCATTTAGTTGTATGTCTCCCCAGTCTCCTCTAGTCTGTGACAGTTTCTCACCCCTTCCTGTTTTTCAGACCTTGATAGTCTTAAGCAGTTAAGGAGGCATCCTGTAGCATGTCCCCCAATCTGGGCTTGTCTGATATTGTGTCATGATTAGACTGTATTTATGTGGTTTTGGGGAAAAATCAGCTCTTCTCATCAAAACGTATCAGGGGGCACATGATAACTACATGAGATCTCTGTTAATACTAACCATGATCACTTGATAAAGCAGAGTTTGCCAGGTTTCTCCATTATAAAGTTACTGTTTATCTCTTTCTCTATTCTTTGGAAGCAAGATACTAAGTATAGTACACCCTCAAGGGGGAATGGGAGTGGAGAGGGTAGGACTCCATCTCCTAGAAAGGGGAAGATATAGATAAATATAGATATAGTTGATAGATGATAAATATAGATATGGATATGGACATGAACACAGACACACAGACACACAGATACAGATACAGATACAGATATAGATATAGATATAGATATAGATATAGATATAGATGATAGATAGATTACTTGGAATTCTTCTGTAAAGATTTGTCCCCTCTCCCATTTTACTCAATCATTTATTTACATCAGTATAAACTTGCACATATATTTGAGATTTTGGGTTTTAATACTACATTATTTTGTTTCTCAAAATGTTGCAGCTTTGGAAAATTTTTAACAGGAATGAAAAAAAATATTTTCACAATGCTCTGTATAAGTAGGAATAAAAATGAGCTTCATATTGTGCACATAGCTATTATAACTGTCCAAAAAGTTCTAGGAAATCATTGCCCTATAGTTTCTAAGGTTGTTTATGTTCTATCCTAATGTTTCTTTTCTAGTTACAATCCCAGTGTTCCAAGGCAGAGGGTGATGAAGCTGACAAAGATGGTGCTGGTGCTTGTGGCAGTCTTTATCCTAAGTGCTGCCCCCTATCACGTGATACAACTGGTGAACTTACAGATGGAGCAGCCCACGCTGGCTTTCTATGTGAGCTATTACCTCTCCATCTGTCTCAGCTATGCCAGCAGCAGCATTAACCCTTTTCTCTACATCCTGCTAAGTGGAAATTTCCGGAAACGCCTGCCTCAAGTGAAAAGGGCAGTGACTGAAAGGGAAATCCACCATTTGGAAAACACATTGAAATTGAGATTTTAGGAGAGTACATCAATCACCAACCATCTTGACAGGCTTATCTACTTTATTGGTATTATTAGAAAGGGCAGGCAAAACAATGGGCTTGTGTCTATTCTTCTTGTGTATTTATGACTCTTAGTAGCATAGAACAGAATTGTAACCATTCAAATGCAATGAATGTAATATGCTAACTTCAGTAAAACATAAAATATGTATCTGTGTTGGAGTAAGGAATTGGGTATAGTCTAAGATACCCACGCTCCATGGCTGCAAATGTTACTTCAGCATGTTATAAACTACTCATTGATAAAAATGGCCATCCATGACCATCACCAGAAAACTCACCAAGGAATCTGACTGAGCCAGCCATACTTTGGCTTCACTGTAACAGTACACTTGAGGTCCCTAGGAGGGGACCACTTTACAATAAGGACTTAAATTTGGCCATTTTTTATCTACAAAAATGTCAACTTCCTGTGGTCCGATCTAATGCCTTCAAAAATCAGCTTTACCTGTTAGCGTAACAGTCACCATGTTTTGAACACATGCAACATGTAAGATTACATGGGCAAACCTGTGAGGTAAGTATCACTTCAGTTTACTATGTTCAGAAAGGTTAAATGATAGTCCTAATGCTGCACAGTTCCATAAGAGCTGAGCTGAAATCCGGGTCTGCCTGGTTTTGTTTTTTACTACACCACCTTCGCAACCTGTACCTATCATACTAGAGGGAACCAATTATTCGGTGGCGGTGGAGGGTCCTTTCTCCTACAGCTCCCCAAGGAAAGAACTAGCCTGAAAGAAATGAGTTACTTTAAGCATATTCTTTTGCAGTTAGCTTTCTTCTCATACCTACAAATTATAAAAATCAGCATCTCCATTTTAATAAGAGTATTCTTCAGGATGTTTAGCATACACTTAAATACATTCTCTTTAGGTTGCAGTAAATGTTCAAGGGTACAAAAAGCAATCAGCCCTTAAATTTGTGGGTGTTCATTATAAGTATCTATCTTTTCCTTTTTTGGCTTTTATAAAACATGCACTTTGATATAGTAAGAAAAGAAAAAAATGCTTTTAAAACCTGTATTCTCAAGAAAGGTAAATATTGTTATTTTGTTTGTGAATTAAATCTGTAAACCCACTTCCTTTCTCCAAATACATAAAACTGCTTGCTCCATGGACACCTGAAACCATTTTTAATCAGTCTTTTATATAAAAGAGTCAGAGATTTTCTAATCTCTATCAAAAAAAGTGACTTTTAACCCAAAGTATTTGGTTCTAGATCTTTTAGATACTTTTTTGGGACAAAGTAGTATCTAAATGCATGTCTGAATGAGAGGTTGTATAACCAATGTGAGAACTACAAACTGAGACAGCTCACATCTGAGATATTTTAGTTCTGTAACTGAATTTGGAGAGCTGGATGCTCCTTTATAATTTCAATCAAAAGCCATGTCATGTCTACCATTCCAGAGGCCTTCATTCTCAATTCTCTATGGTGCAACAGTCAGTTCAGTGAATAACCTTGATATCCAGAGACCCAGCACAATAGATCATAAACAGATGTTATTATTTAATAATTGAAGAGCAATTGATGAGTTTACCTCCATTGTCTTTTTTAATACAGAAAATATTATGACTGTTAAAATTTAAATGGTTTTAAGCCAACTGACATTTTTCTAATAGCATTTCCAGTAGGCCTCAAATAATTCCAATATATAAATTGATCATTGAATTATTTTAATTTATATTTATTAAGCGTTGTAAAGAAATTTAATCAAAGTGCAAAATAAAAAGGTGACTATTAAATTTCAGGTTTGTGCCTTTAAATAGCTTTTCTATGCATTATATATAAATTATATATGTATATGTATCTGCAGAGGTGATTTGACAGAGATTCTCTATGTGCTTTGTATTTTTGCCCATGATATGTATACATGTTTACTTTCAAGAAAATTTAATGATCAGTTTCACATATCTAATTAATACTTGGGTATTTGTTACAAAAAATCATAACTGTATCCCTCCTCTATGCTTATTCAATTATAGGTGCCTCATTTTAATTTTGATCAATTACTATCAATCAATGAATAAAAATTGCTTGTATATTAATTTACTTCTGGCTTGCAGCTTCTATTCTTAAGGTTTTATATAAAGAATTTCAAATTTTCTTAGTATAATTTCTACTGAACAAAGAGTAAAGATTTCAGAATTAGTAAAATGTGTCCCAAATATGGCTAATAGTCTGAAGGCACTCATCATACCAAATTCTCAGAAACCTTGGCATTTGTACGTGTTATACCTGAAGTACCAGAAATTAGGTTTTCATGGATTATGATGTCACAGGGGTAATGGAATCTTGGATGTGAAAGATACTTAGAGATAATCAAGTGTGACAGATGATACAAATGAAACCCAGATAGATCAAATAATTTTTAACACAGCCCAGTGTGTATCCAGAGACCCACACCATATGGGCAGCAAGAAACAAGCCCAGAGTCCTTCCCCCTGAACTTTCCCCCTTGTGGGACAGTGTAGAATAGCTAGGGAAAAAATTGAACTTTACACTTGACAAAATTCCTGAGAGTTTATGAATAAATCAAGATTAGATAATTATATTTTAAAAGTTATAGAATTTTTTTTAAATATCTGATTCTTCATAATTTGCTTGGACTTATGATCAGGATGGCAAAGGCTAATTTCCCATCCATTTCACAGAGCTCTAAAGCAAAATACAGAAATAAACAATATTTTCTTATACTCTTCCCAGTTTTCAGTTGATACCTCTCTATATCAAGAATTTAGTTTATTCTGCAGATAGCCTCCTCCCTCACTGAAGGTTAGGAGCAGCCCCACAGCTATGACTCCTTTAAACATTTCACCCCAGCAGAGATAACCTCAAATTGTTTTATTTGCCCTTTTAGCAATTAGCTTAGATATAGCTATAGTCCATTCAAAAGACTACAGTGAATTGGTATCTTGATATCTGTGGTTTGTAAATTTGTCATTTAACACATATTTACAGAACAATTTACTTCTAAGGAACTCCAAGACACTGGATTCCACTTAAAAATTTTTTAAACCTCATCAACATTACTCTATCTCAAGAACTGGAAATCCAATGTCTCCTGTGTTTTCTATAGATCAGCTCTACCTACATGAGTGAACCAGAGGACAATCTACAGTGATTTCTCAATTCTAAAATACAACTGATTGTAAAATGCACCACTGATAATTATCTTTGGAAAATTACAATGCAATATTGTTATTATTGTTATTGTTATTATTAAACAATACAATATTAAACATTCACATTAATAGTAAGATGTACCCTAATTTCAGAAACACTGGCATGTGGAAAAATGCATGTCACAGAATTAAGAAAATAAACAATACTGAAACTCATCAATGCATTTTCTTCTAATACTGAATGTACTTATCTCTATCACTCAATGAAAGAATTCTCTACCAAGTGATTTCCTCGTTAGTAATAAATGCCTAAATCCAAACACGTAAATGAATTATACAAAAGGATAAATATTAATTAAACATCTTGCAAAAATGTTTTACTTATTTTCAGGCACAGGATTGAGAAAAAAAAGTGAATAATTTTGAAATAAACAGGTTCTTGGTTTACACCACAGGAAAGAATTCAAGGACGCACTGAATATGCCAAGCAATCCATGGATTTATTAGAAGAAATAGGCTAGTACACTTCCAAGATAGTGGGAGAAGGTGGGCCAGGGGAAGAGCAACTGCTCTGAAGAACAAAGAGGCTTAGGAATTTACTAGAATGAGGGCATGAAATATTCAAGATGTAGGGGTGGTGTTATAGGCGTTCCTGGACAGGTCTTCGCTGACCACTCCTTCCCGATGGGAAGAGGGATTTTTGTCCTTATTTGGCCCTTGTCAGAACTGTCATGGCAGCACAGAGGGTGGAGATTTTCCCTGCTGATAATACTGATATTATAATCCATTACAATGACCTAAAGTTCAGCCTGAGTGACAAGATGGTATCCTGGGTCCGCTGTCAGCCACCAAAATCTAGTTCTGGCCAGTCTGATAGTTGCACCTTTTCTTTAGAATGACCTCATCTCCTCCTCTCTCTGTCTCCCCTCATATTTTCTTTCCTTTCCTCCCCACTGTCTCCCGAGGCCTTATTTTTTCCTGCCTGTGGTAACAGTATCGTCATATCATCATCACCATCACTACCTTCATTATCATCCCTTAAAAAAATACAGATTGAAAAAATTACAGAATATATATATATATATATATATATATATATATATATTGCAATTCCTCCTATTGAGAAGGAGAGTCTATCTCCCCATCCCTTGAATCTAGGCTGACCTGTGATTTTCTTTAGCCAATACATTGTGGCAGAAGTGACATTGTGTGAATTCCGAAGTCTAGGCCTCAAGAGACTTGCAGCTTCCACATTTTCCCTCTTGGAATTCTGCACAGAGACACCATGTAAGAAAGCCAGTCTAGCCTACTAAAGGCTGAGAGGCCACGTGGAGGAGGACTGAGGCACCCCACCTGGTAGCCAACACCAACTGCCAGACACATGAGTGAGACCATCTTGTACTTTACAGCCCAGCTGATAGTGCATCATTTACAGTCGTGTGAGTGACCCAGGTGAAAGCAACAGAGAAGCCATCCAATCGATCCACAGAATTGTGACAAATAATAAATTGTTGTTGTTTTAAGCTGGAAGCTTTGAGATGGTGTGTTTTGCAGCAATAGGTAACTGAAATAGCATCCATGAAAGTACAAATTAATAAAATGACCCTTAGTGACCAAAAAAGTTATGAGCCTCTAAAGTATTACAGTTATCATGAATCTTGATTTCTTTCTTTCTTCCTTCATTCTATAAATATTTGTTGAGAACCAAGCTTAGTCCAGGTAATACACTACGTTTCAGATATAGATTGATGAACAAAACATTTTCCTGCCCTTACCAGGTTATAATCCAGTTAGTATTAAAAATGCTAACACATAGGTACCTGGAGAAGAGAATAACAGACACATATCTTAGTTATACTGGGCAGTTTTCTTTCAGTGCTTAGACACAAAACAGCTATGAAATAAATTCTCTCCCTTTGATTTTATTCTAAAAGAAATGGCAATTGCACGGAACGCAAAATGTTTGAGGTATGAGAAAACTGTTGTTCTATCTCTTTTCTATTT